TAAGAAAACCAAATTTACTTTGGATCTCTGAGAAGTGGTGCTCATAGATGCTGGACAACTACCTAAAAGAACGTTCAGTTTTGATTCAGCAGCTCTGAATAAAAATAAAGCCTAAAGTTTTCTATTTTTTACTATTGAAAAAAAAGGGAAACATTTTCCTTCTAAATCACAATTATGTGCTATCTTGATCTTTTATATTACATAATAAATATGATAGCTGCTGTTTGTTGGAAAAACTTGCAGAGGCATGAAGGATTTTTGCAAGGCCCTGTGTGTTGGCCTTCTCTATGCTAGATCTGTGATTATCTCTGAGCCACTCAAACATCTCCTCCATTTCCCTCATCCTTAATCTAAAGGGTTATGGGCATTCAAGGTGATTTCAAACATTAGCCTGCTGGAAATTGATATGATGACTGTGGTCAGAGAGGAAGGCTGCAGCCAGCTGCACAAACACAATCTCTGTGATTCATGAACCCACCTGTGAGCTGCCTGTAGTCCAAACTGACAAAAGGACCCAGTGCTGCTCTGAAGGTACGACTCGATGATTAACCACTGCAGCACAGCCTGACAAATATAAAGAGAGAGAAAGGTGGGTGGTCTGACACTGTGATAACTACAGCAGTTTGAGCTTCTTCTTCCATACAAACCCCCTCTTATCAGTTTCTACCACTTTGTTTACATGGTGCTCTTCAATACTGTATATCAGAGATGGCAAAAATACTCACTTTCTGTACTTGAGTAAAAGTACAGAGACTTGTGTTAGAAAATAGTCTGGTAAAAGTGGAAGTACTGATTAAACTTCTTTACTCAAGTAAAAGTAACAAAGTACAGGCTTATAAATTTACTTAAAGTATAAAAGTAAAAGTAGAAACCACTTTTTTCTTGCGTTGCCTACATTTTAAATGGATGTCTGCCAATAGGACTAGATCTCCGTTGTGTTCATTTTCAATCATCTCGTCGTACATACTACTATGCTAACGCCACCGCCACCAAGCTGCAATGATTTGCCGCCAATGAATACCGCCGAATCTGTCGATTCATCTTGTAGTGGTGCGTCAAATGCAACGTAGATTCCCATGAGATTAGATTGAATTTGGTATTGATGATGTGAAAAATAATAACGTTAACTCCATTGAAATGATTCAGAACTAAAGTAAAGAGCCAATTTTTTAAAATGTAAGGAGTAGAAAGTACAGATATTTGTGTAAAAATGTAAGGAGTAGAAGTAAAAAGTCGCCATAAAAGAAAGTAGTAAAGTAAAGTAAAAATATCAGAAAAATCTACTTGAGTACAGTAACGAAGTATTTGTACTTCGTTACTTCCCATCTCTGCTGTATATACAGCAAAAACTATGTAACAAAGATCCAGTGGTTACTTCAACACTGACAGTGGAAGGGGTGCTTAGGTTTGACTATATTTCAAATATAGACCTTTTTTTTATTAATACAGCCTTTTTGGGACTATTTTTAACAGAAGACCCTCTGAAATTTACATTTTAAAATTTCAAAGGCATACTGACAAAACATGACAACTCAAAAAATAACTCATATAATCATATAATAGCTATTAAAACACCTAAAAATATAATTTACAAGATAAAACATGGTGGTGTCAGCATTAGGTTGGGATGGTTTTCTTTAGCAAGAGAGGAAATCTGGAAACAATTGTGCTCCTCTGGTAAAGGGTGACACTTTTTCTGATGCAGTTATCAATGCAAACACAACTGAAGCAAGCATTTCTAATAGACAAGGAAAACTTTTTTTTTTTTCAGGAATTAATTTTTTTTTATCTGAATGTGAAACCCCATTCTTCCAAAGCATGCATGTACTTAGGACAACTAAGTCTTACCGTTTCCCAGAAGCCTTCAGGTTTGGAGTGTATATCTTCCAAACAGAGATAACTCAGTTACCTGTATTCAGATCAGTAGTTCTTAGACCAACAACAAAAAAATTATTTAAAAATCTTTCTGGGCCAAAATTGACATCCTTCTTTAAATACACAGTGAACAACTCATCCAAGATGTGGGAGTTTGTAGGAGAGTTGCTGTCAGTTGGATAGAGTATGGATATATTCTAAGAATAGATTTGTTGGAAAAATAACCAATCTAGTTGGTTAAAACTAGTTTGGTTAGATTAAACAATTAAATGATCAGAATCTGAGCAAGAAACTGGTTACAGTTGTAACATCAGGGTTGTAGTACTATTGCTTTCAAGTGAGCAGTTTCCATTGCTAGAGGCATCATCTATAAGACATTGAATTTCATTCCTGAGGTTGTAGGTTCAAACCCCACCTTAGATTTTTTTCAAAGTTGCGATAATACTTTAGTGTTTTGGCTAATGTGACTAATTTGTATTAGTTTGCCCTTGTACAAATATAAATTGGGTAAAAACACTGCCAAATTAGATTGTTTGGTTTAGCGAAAATATCGATTGAACACATAACTTCCAACCAGATTAAAACTAAAAACAGTGGAAAAAATATTATGTTATGTAAAAATGACTAACACCTTTCATTTGGCTTATCATTGCTCAATTTTCAAAAAAAACTTTCATTGTCTGCTTGAGCTTATTTAACTAAAATGGCATAAAACAGTGTACCCTTAAATGATTGTTCTCTTCTAAGACATTTTACACAAAAAAAAACGTAAAAAAGATTTTATCATACACACCAATAATTAACAACTTCAAAGGAACTCAAATAGGAAAAAAACAAGAAAACAATAAAAAAAAAAAAAAAAACAGATTATATTGCTAACTGTTGTTATGATCTCTGCCAGTTGATGGTGACATGTTCACATGATGCTTCATGAATTGTGGGGATCATTGAAACAATTTGGCCATAAGGTTCAACACCTCGTAAGGCTTCATCTCACATCACTAACCAACAGGGGTAAGCAGATAACGCTAAGCTGTATAAACATCAGCTCATTACAGTCTTAGGTGGATAAATCTGCATTTAGGTTAGAATTTTATTTAGTCTCTGGTTTTAAACTCAACAAAATAAAACCTCCTTTTTTATCTATCCTCCAGAAACCTCAAACTTTAAGTTAAATGCAGCTCTTCAGTAAGACCTCAAATGTTTGAAGAAAAATTTTGGAAGGGAATCGTTTTCAGAAAGTTTAAATGACAAAAATTAGATGTAAAAGTATTTGTATTCAGAAATGTAAGCCTACTGTGAATGTCTAAATGAAAAGTAGCACTGATAATAATATTCTATATATATACCACCACAGGGACACATTGCACCATTCTGATCATTCCTTTCATTCTGTTCATATCTGCCTTCAGGTACAAAATGGAGCCCGGTAATCTGCTGAGATAGAAGACATCAGCGGAGTCAGGTGTCTCAGAGGGACACGAGAACCTTAACAGAAAGCTGGTGGACTACTTTGCAACATCATATGGTCATCATATCTTTAAAGCGAAAAAAAGATGAGGGAGGCGATTAATCAGCAGAAATAGAAAGATGTCACATTTCCATAACGGGAGTAGAAATGAAGAAGTTAATCCACCAGTGTTCAACATATTGGACGTACTAAGCTTCAATCCTTTAGTTTTTGCAGCAAGATACTGTAGATCTTCTAGGATTCTGTTGTGGAGATTGAAATATGTTCTGCCATCAGTGGGGGTAGCAGAGTTAGAGCAAAAAAAAGCAATAAGTTAATAAAGAATGCTGCTTCTGTTCTGGGGACTCTGGAGATTCTCGGTGACAGGATTCTTAATGAAATGAAGAACATCCCTGGGCGTTCTCAACATAAGAATGTAAAAATCAAGCAGGTTTCAGAAAGAAACTTCTTTAAATCTCCTTTAAAACTGGGATCTACAGTAGATCCTTCTTGACTAAAGCTATCAGCATTTACAACTATTTGAATGAGCTTGAATAAAGAGTCAAAGCATTAATTTGCATCTGACTTAGAGTGCTTAGAACGTTGGATCTCCAACCTGCTTAAAAACATCAGAGCACCAACTACGCATTGCTCCTGGATAGGAACTGAAACGTTTTCAGAAAAGCTGTGCAAACCCGCTTTGTTGTAAATCTCAAAAAGTGAATGCTTCTTCAGACAGTTGAGACAATAAATGCAATTGGATCTAAGGTCAAGAGAACCTCCAAAATAACAGCACAGGGAAAATTAAGTTTTTTTTATTTTGTTTGTTTGTTTGTTTGCATTTAAGGGTGCAAAATATTTTGGAACCACATGGGGGCAGAATGGGACCAATACTGACACATGCAGTACTGCTTTGTTTTGTCCCTCAGAAAATGCTAGAAAGACCAGTGAATATGTCAATTTGCAGATCTGATCATCTAGATCATCCATACGTCAGTCTGCAACTTTTTATTATTTGACCTCATGTGTAATTTTTCATTAATCCTGCATTTTGATTAAACTGTCACTTAACCCAACACTGGCTTTTGTTTATGTACTTGCATGGACAATAATGCTTATTATGTTCATTGGGGTGTTTACAAAACACAGTGAGGAAAAAAAACATCAGTTATATCTTTTCCATTGACTGTGATACCATGGTTTTTTATTTTTTTGAGTCTTAACGACCTCCAACGCCATTATCTGTGCTCACACTAGACTAGTCTGCTTACCACTTCCTGTGCTGTAAAAATTAGCTTTTCACAGATCAACTTCCTTGAAACTACAAAAGACTATTGCAAAGAAGAACTTTCACCTACTTATACTTTGCCAAAACAAACATTTTTAAGTCCATGTTATTTTCCACCACTAAGCCATACTTTTTCCATTCCAGCCCTAGCAGTGGAGATTTTGGCACAAAAACAAATAAAGCACTAGGAAATAAAAACAAAACAACAAACTATTATGGCTTTATGCTTTCAGAAAGCTATACAGGAGTGAGCTATATTTACTTTAAAAAACAAGCGCTTTTTACAATATCTAACTAATAAAGGGCACAGAAAATAGTAGTAGTAGAGAACGGTGTATCAAAAATATTTAATAGTTTTTTTTTTTTTTTTATCATTTGAAGCAAAAAATGTACAGTTTTTCTAAGACAGTAATTTTTGCATATTGAAAAACATCTAAAACAACCTTTAAAATCACGACATATTTTAGTTTTCCTTCAGAGCAGAACTGATACTTCAAATGAAATTTGAACAAATTAAAATGTGTTAAACATAGTCACTTTGTTAAAATGTCATTCCTATTGAGGGATCAGCATTTTGCCGTTGGTGATGAAGCTGTATCTAAATAAAGACTAACACAACGTACTAAGAAAAACTGCAAAAAAAAAATTTAAATAAAAGTAACACACAAATTTAGACATGGGGATTGAAAAAAACAAATACATCCTAAGCGTAAAATGAAAATGTGTAACAAGCTGAACCTCATTAAAAAATATTTTTCCAAAATTCAATTTTTTCACTAGAAGCACCAAGAAATTGTGAAAGAAAAATGGCCACAATGCTGGATTTAAGGCATACCAATGTTTTGAGGAGACATATTTTTGAGAATAATTGCAGAGAAATAAAAACAATAAATGTGATGTTGCAATATTTCAGCAGCAGTAGGAATAAGCAATACCTATATACATAAAGATTGTCATACACATTCAAATTTGAACTTTTTGTATATACATCTATATATCTATATATATCTTTTACCATCCCTGCTAATTCCTGAGATACATTGGATCCTACTGACCCATGCTTGTTCAGATTAGATCTGAAGTCTGTGGCACCAGAAAGATTCATTGTAACAGTTTATAAACACATTATTTAAAAGCACAATCTTCTCGTTAAAATTCCTATTTTTTTTTCTGCTGAAAGAGTCTTCAGAGGAAAAAAGTTCTGACCCATGTTTATCAGAAAAAACATAAATCTAATATCTTAACAGGGTTCTTAAAGATTTAACGTGTAAAGAATTCAAAATTTTTCAGACTCAAGTTTTAAGTTAATTTTAAAACATAAGACACTAAGAGTTCACTTTGATTTCATGGCTTTTTTTTTTTTTTTTTTTTTACAAGCAGCCGGCTTTAGATATTTAGACATGGGAATATAGGGGGAGAAAACAAAGGATAGAAGAAAAGAAAGAAAAGGAAGGCAAGGCAAAAAAAGCAGGCAAGTGAAAGGATAGAAAGCCAATATACAAGAGTGGAAGGATGAAACAAAGGAAGGCTGAGAATTAAACAGAGACAGGGATGATAAAATGAAGGAGCTAACAGGAAGAAAGAGGTAACAAAAGAAAAAAGGTCGACAGGTGGAGCACATGAAGAGCTGAATGGAAAGGGGAAAAAACACCAAGGACAGTAAATAAAGAATGAGTGGAGAAAAAAAGGAAAGAAGGATGTGAAAAACAAAAGAAGGGAAATGATGAAAGGAAGAGAAGGAACATATACAGAGCATGGAAAACATTTCAAACTCCATACTTTTTTGTCTTTTCTAAACTATGTACAGTAGAAACCTTTTTTTATAGCTCATCTGTTAAAAAATTTAATCCACAGCTAACCATCATTGCCTTGTTTCCAATCACCTTCCTCACTTATTTACATTAGGGCTGAAACAATCAACCGGATTAATCATTATTGAAATAATCGTTCACTAATTTAGTAATCGATTAATTGTCTCAATTAATAGACTCTAAAACATGCCTTTAGCTCACAGAGCGACCCAGTTAGAGCAGTAATTATACCAAGATTGTAAAAAATATATTAGTGGTGGGCCGTTATCAGTGTTAACACAATTTTTTGTGACACTAATTGTTAAAGTGGGACATCTATAAACAGAAGTGTAACACTATTTTTACAGCAAAAACTCAGTAACAATAAGACAAAACGTGTGATTTTGCAAACAAAAAAAGTAAACCTTTTCTTCTAAATTGTGCAGGTAGCACACATGTCATGAATGCCTTCAGCATAATTCAAATAAGCAGATTCATTCTAAGATTGCAGCGAGATTAATCTAGATTTTAAAAAAATTATCTATGCCCACAAATAAAAAATATACAAACATTTTGCATTTAATGCAAAAGACAGATTTCCTCTATCAATATGCTTTATCCAGAACTCCTGAAGTGGAAAAGCTTTAGTTTCAATTGGTTTCATTAAAAAAGTCTTCTTTAAGGAACCTCTGGCTATCAGATTATTAACTGATTACCCGAAAAAATAATCGACAGATTAATCAATTTACAAAATAATTGTTAATTGGAGCCCTAATTTAGATACTTTCATAACAAACTCGACGTTATTCGGTGGAGTCCTTTTCTTCATCCGTGTGGTTGCGCTTGTGTTTGTTCAGTTTAGACCAGGAGGAGAACTTCTCTCCACAAGTAGAACAGCTATAAGGTTTCTCCCCTGTGTGCATCCTCATGTGGCCTTTCAGGTCAGTTCTGTGACCGAAGCTTCGATCACAAACGGTGCACTTGTATGGCTTCTCACCCGTGTGCGTCCTGATGTGTCGTTTTAAAGTGGTCCTGGTGGCGAACTTCCTCTTGCAGTAGGAACACTTGAAAGGCTTCTCCCCCGTGTGTACCCGCAGGTGGTTTTTATAAGCAGATGAGTCTGCAAACTCCTTGCCACATTCCTTGCAGGTATAAGGCTTTTCGCCTGTGTGAATCCTCATGTGCTTTTTCATATTGACGCATGAGCTGAAGCTCTTTCCGCACGTGCTGCACTTGTACGGCTTTTCCCCTGTGTGAACCCGGACGTGGAGGTCGAGGTTGTAGCGCCGATTGAATCCGTTTCCGCAGATGTCGCATTTGTAAGGCTTCTCAGCAGAGTGGATTATCAAATGCTTGTTCAAGTCCCAGCTCTCTCTGAACATCTTCCCGCAAGTGTCACATTTGTAGTTCTTGGCGACCGTATGTGTCTTCATGTGGAATTTGTAGTTCTTGAAGTTGGACATTTCTTTGCCACACGTGTCACATTTGTAGGGGTTTTCTGCCTTCTCTCCGTCGCTGGATTCGCTTTCATCCGTGTTAGACAGCGGTGGGTCAGGATTCTGGTTTGACATGTTGTTCTCTTTGCTGCCTTTGTCTTGCTTTTTCATTTGATTGCTTTTGGAAGATTTGGAATCTTCCTTTTTCCGCATCCTTTTTTTCTCTATTTGCGGCGGCTCAGAACCCTGGCCGTCTCCGGTGCTCTGAGCCGATCTTGCCTCTTTTCCTTTTGCATTTTCAAGCAGAGATTCCCCAGCAGTGGTTGTCTCCTGGATATTTACTGATGTTATAATGTTTGGTGCAGATTCAGCAGATCCGGTTGATGTTATGAGCTTATCTTTGTCACCTGTACAAAATGCGCTCATTCCATTTTGACCTATTACAGATGAGGTTGGAGCAGTACCTAGTAATGGTACAGTTAAGACAGGAGGCGCTGGCCTACCAAATAATTCCATGGGTTGAACTGGCTCAATAACTCTTCTTAAGACAATATGTTCATCTCGATTCTTATTTGCTTCTGGTTTATAGTTTTCTTGAGTTGCTGTTATTTTATTGTTGTCTATACAGGCCCCTGTTGGTGCCGACTCATTGGTTGCAGCTGTCATTGGGAACCCAGTATTATTGATTGGTGTTAACATTGGCCTCTCACAATTATCTTTCTCCAACTGTGCCTGCTCTGTGATGATGGTTGATGCTGCATTTAGGTCATGAAAACTCATTTCAGAGGACGGCTCAGGACTCATACCGGAGAGTGCAAATGAGTTCTCGTCAATTTCATTCAAGATGTCCTCATAATTTCCATCCAAAAATGCATCATCAAACGACTCCTCTGTATTTGTAGCCTGAGCCGGGCTCCTTTCAGTAGAAGTTTGCTCTGTAGGTTCAGCTGATGTTGATGTTGGCCCTCTTTTGTCAATTGGGGTTTCAGCATGGCCTGAATTTTGAGAGAGCGATTGCCCACTCACCAAGGCTACCCCCTCCTTAGATCCAGACTCTACATCTTGGTTTGAACTGTTAGACTGAAGATCTTTATTTGCTCCCGACGCTTTTTCAGGACCTAGCAGCTGTGATTTCTCACCAGTGGTAATTGGATGAGAAGCTGAAGTCAGCCTGGAGGCTGCAGCTTCTTGCTGCTGCAGAGGCTGCGGTCGCTCCTGGCTGATGCACATTTCCTCATGCTCTTCTTTAATCTGCACAGTACCTGGTAGGAATCTGGATGCTCCGTCATTACTGCCATACTGCTGCTGATTTTGAAGAGCCTTGATTTCTGAAACCCAAAAGAAAAAAAGACATTTCACTTTAAAAAAGGAATAAAAATAAGTTAAGAACAATTAAAAACTAATTGTGTTTTTTTTTTTCCCCAAATTGCGTTGTAAACCGTTTGCCTTATTAAGTGCCTAGAAGCACCAAGCCCTGGCCAATCAACAATAGGGAAGCAAACTGAGCAAGTATATTCCTGATGGCTGCATGATGCTTCAAATTTAATTTTAAATCAGGGGTCAAGGCCTTTGACTTGATCTTTTTAATGTATGTCGAGTTTCTGAAAGAAGATGTGTTAAAATAGCAAAAAGAAAACTGTTTTGTAAGTGTTTGTTCCTGTACCGACAAATTAAAATAATCTGAACAAGAATTTAAGGAAAACCATTGTTAAAATAAAAAATATATATATATACATACATACACACACACACACATTTTGCATTTAAAATTTTTAAAAAATGTTCGTCTGTCAATATGCTCAATCCAGAACTCCTAAAGTGGAACATTTTTACTTTCACCTGGTTTAATTTGGTAAAAATATCTTCTTTTAAGGAACTTCCGAAATTTTTTTTTATGTACCAGGAAGTACCAACGCACCTACGTTAAGCAACTACAATTAAGTGTATATTTATGCATTAATTTTATAATTTTTTCAGAAAAAAAAAAAAAACTGTTTTTCAAGTCCCTTTTCTTTTAGACATCAAAAATTGTTTGTCCCTTAAAATTGAGCACATCCAAGAAATAACAATCACCTACGTGTTGTATTATGTTGATGACCTTCATAGTAAAATTTCAGATATGGTTAATATTGTTTTCTTGCTTGTCAAATATCCTATACATTGCTGTAAATGAAGAGGTTCTACTCCTTGTTTTGTATTTTTTTCTTGACCAATTTAAATTGTATTACACTTCAATGAAACATTTGAAATCTGTTTCTGCCAAAAAAGTAACTGCCAGTATTTCTACTTTTCTTTTGTTTTTAAATCTTGCTCTATATTTATTCATTGGCCTTATTGTTTATGTATCTGTTCTTGTTTTTAGCCCCATGTTCTGTATATTTTTTTTAACTCTACCCAGTCTTTGTACTACGGAAGACGATTAGTGCCACTGAAAAAATAAAAAAATGCTAACTGATTTTTAAATGTTATTTCAGTTTATTATGGAAAAAAGTCAGAATTCTGACTTTAAATCCCAGAATTTTGACTTTTAAATCCCAGAATTCTGACTTTTTTCCTCAGAATTCTGACTTTTTTCTCAGAATTCTGACTTTTTTCATTGGCCTTATTTGTTTATGTATCTGTTCTTCTTCTTAGCCCCATGTTCTGTCTATTTTTTTTTTTTCTCAACCCATGTTGTAATATTTGTACCTCGAGTTTATGGACTACAGAAGAGGATTAGGGCTACTGAAAACATAAAATTTTTAAATTTTAATTCAGTTTAATAGGGAAAAAAAGCCAGAATTTTGACTTTATTCCCAGAATTCGGACTTTAAATCCCAGAATTCTGACTTTTTTCTTCAAAATTCTGACTTTAATCTCAGAATTCTGAATTTTTTCCATATAAAACTGGAATAAAATGTAAAAATTAGGTAACTTTTTACATTTTTTTTCAATGTCCCTAATCCTCTTCCATATTGTACACTATGGTTTGTTATAAAAATAAAGTTAACAAAAAAAAAGTTCCGCAACTTCCGCCTTAAAACATAATTAACCATTGCGTCATTTAATGTCAGTCCGGAATTGTTCTTATGTACCAGGAAGTGCCAACGCACCTACATTAAGCAACTACAAATAAGTGGATATTTATGCATTAATTTTATTATTTCTTCTGAAAAAAAAGTTCTTTCCTCTGAAAACATGAGTCACACCTGTCAGACGGGTTTAATTACCGCAGCAGCAAGATCACACATGAGTTAAGGAAGCAAAAAGAAAAAAGGAGAGGCAGCATCAATATAGATTAATGACACTAACTTCCTTAGATTATAAAGCTGTTATAGTTGAGAACCTGGTGACCAACCTGTCCTCTGTAACTTTATCTCTGGAGAAAACACCGTGTCTAACATCCTGCGCTGTCGCGCCAGCTCCGCTTCATACTCCTCTACTCTCTTTTCAAACGCTCCCAGGATCTCCTGAGCTGCTGCAGTCAGCCGGTCGCAGACAAACTTGCGCATACTTTGAACCGGATACATGGTCAGAACGGACATTTTTCAACTTGATACAAGAAAATAATCAAACACCACAAAGGTGGTCTGACTTCGTTTTCAGCTTTCCGTTTGCTTCCGTGTTGAACCTGAGCTTTCAGAACAAACATGCTTTAGTTATGAACTCCACCTACTGTCCTGGAATGGAAGTTATGTACTGAAAAATTAGCTTGTTTCTGAAATTTACTCCGTTAACCCTGAAAAGGTGCTTTTTTTTTGTAATTTTATGAAAAACTATTAAGTGTATAAGTGTCTGTCTTAATCTGACATAATCTAAAAAGAAAAGAAAATCCAGAAATCACAGTGTCTGATTTTATTAACTATTTATTTATGTGACACAGCTGCAAATAAGCATTTAAACCTGAGAAAATCAATTTTAATATTTGGTACAAAAGGTCAAACCTTTCCTGTATTTTTTTTATCTTTATTTTTTTACCAGGTTTGCACACATTGCAGGAGGGATTTTGGCCCACTCCTCACAGATCTTCTCTAGATCAATTAGATTTCTGGGCAGTCGCTGAGAAACACAGGGTTTGAGCTCCCTCCAAAGATTCTCTATTGGGTTTAGGTCTGGAGACTGGCTGGGCCACGCAAGAACCTTGATATGCTTCTTCCAGAGCCACTCCTTGGTTATCCTGGCTGTGTGCTTCAGGTCATTGTCATGTTGGAAGATCCAGCCTCAACCCATCTTTAATGCTCTGAGGGAAGGGGGTTGTTCCCGAAAATCTTGAAATACATGGCCCCGGTCATCCTCTTCTTAAGTGCGGTCATCCTGTCCCATGTACAGAACCACATCCACAAAGCATAATGCTACCACCCCATGCTTCACAGTAGGGATGGTGTTCTTAGGATGGTACTCATCTTTCTTCTTCATCCAAACACGGTTAGTGGAAATATGACAAATGTTCTATTTTGGTCTCATCTGACCGCCTGACTTTCTACCCATCACTCCTTTGGATCATCCAAATGTTCATTAGTTCAATCTGAAAAACTCACACGAAGAGAAAGTCAATTAGGAGAAATTTATTGATACAGTTACTTTGTCTTTGGCGCTCAGACCTCGGCAGGAAACATAGCGCTTTATTTTGATAGATATGCACGAAAAGGAGCAAAGAATAGGGCTGTTTCCTCCCAGGCCTGAAACTAGTGGTGGAGTGG